AAACATACACTACCTAGCAGTGCATGCATTTGCTCTGTAGGCATTGCTTTGTGTAATCACAGTAACATATAATATGCTGTATTATTTGTTATTTTAAGATCACAGGTTTGAAACCATAGTCTACCATATTTGGAATAGTTTAAACAGAAAACTTCTTATAAGACAAATCTTCAGCTGGTGCAGTTATTTCTGATCTTCTGTTTTTAGCCTCCTCCCACCTTTTCTGGGGTGCGGAGCAAATTCAGAAGTGGAGGGCATGGGAAAAAGAATACGGACTTCCACTTCCTTCATGGACTGCTTCTCTCAGCCAGTTGTGGTGAACATTTGGGCAAGTTTTCAGACCAAAATAGCATTGTAGCCCAACCCAAAAGATTACGTAGCCCCTTTTACCAAGATGGGAGTACATGTAATAACCCGCTGGTTGTGTGTGTTATCTGTGCCCTCTGTGCCTGAGCCACAAAGGGTGTGAGTCTGTTACAGCCCACAGTATGGTGCTTAGCCGGAGGCTTCTGTGTTTAGCTTTGGAGGTTCCCAGCTTGTACCCCAGTGTGTCAGCCAAGATGGCAGCTGGCACAATGTCATCTGATCACAGCAAAGAGGGTCAGGAGATGAAACAAGAAATTTGTGTGTCAAAAACTATTCTTTGGAAAAAGATAGTTTGTATGTAAAAATGGAATGTGCCAAAAGGTGCTTCTGTATGACACCATGTAATGTTCTTAATAGATTGTTTTGTACATAATGCATTTGGTAGACATTTCTGTAAACAAGGAAAAATGTATGATTTGACTGAAATATCCCTGAAAAGCAAAACTGGCAGTTGAGACACATGTTGATGGAAAAATCACACTGGCCAAATGAGATTCTAACTTCTGGTTGTCTAGAAAGGGATACTGTGTGTGCAATACCTTGGCTGCCAAGAATGCCTGCCTAGAATATAACAGGAATTGTTGTAAAGTCTTTAATGCAAAGCCAACATGATGGTTGAATACTAATGTGTGAGGACTATATTCTGCCTGCAAACTACTCCCATTTTAAATTCCCTGCCATTGACTATGGATGTTCAGAGCTGACTATGATACTGGGACTGGGGAAGGAGGAGGAATAATTAGTAATCAGAGAGCAGTTGGCTCTGTCAGAAAACCAGATAAAATACCTAAACATAATCAAATGTTGATGCCAAATTGTACTAGATATAAAACTGGTTGAATTGTTGAATTTATTCCTAATTCCAAATCCCTTGTTCCCACTTACGAAGTTAGCTTCTCTAGCCATAGTATGATCTAGGCTATAACCAATGGAAGGTAGGAGAATTTAATCATACATGTTTTTTAATTTTCATCTGAGTCACCAAGCAATTAGCAGAGATTTATCAAATCCATACCAAGTTAAAATATAGTTGAATTACAAGTAGGATTATAGTCCACACAGCTCCATAACTTGTATATGTGTTCAAAAATCAATTATTTCTTATGTATGAAGGGATCTCCCCTCTGTATCATTATGCTCCTCGGTTTTTATTTTTCTATGAAAATCTCTGGGATCTCCACAGGACCTTCTGTATACTTAGCAAAGGAGTTGCCTCAGTGCCAATACATGCATTTTTTTTTTTCATTTTAAAAGGGGCTATACTGAAAATTTTACCATACGCTGTTGCTTCTCACTTCTCTGACAACACATCTTGTAGCTGTGCAGATATATTTCTCTTGTACAAATAGATGGGAGCCTATTTATAGAATATACACCAGGAGGTTTTTCTTAAGGGGCAGAGGTGGTGCCACTGGGCCTATAGAAATTCTTCTTCAATACTTGCATGTTTGAAGGAAAGTCCTATTAATCACTTAGAGACCATTAAAAAGAGTAGTAATGATAAACTCTCAAAGTTGGACTTATTAATACAGGAAGCTGCTAAACCAGGTGCTTGATCCTTCCCTTTCTCTTCTTCAACTAGCCTTCCCCGTTCTTTGTTCTGGCTCTCTTCCCCCTCAATAGCACTTGTAAGGTAACTTATTTTGTTAATGTAACTTTAGTTTTGATAAGGATTATATATCGGAGATGTGAACAACGATCTGATCATTAAAGAAAGCAGCTTGGATGACATAATCACACTAGTTTGATATCACTAAGACCTGTGAGAAGTAAATGCAGGTTACATAGTATTTTGTATAACATGAATGTGGCTATATATTTTGGCATTGCCCATCTTGTTTTGGTGAAGGAGTAGTTATATAGATGTCCAACTAAGAGGTTGCCGAGTTAAATCTTCTTATAGAAGTTTAAATAAATAAACCCTGATGAGAGCTACCGTTAAATATGGCTGGATTTCAGATGCTTTCATTCATGCATAACTTTACTTGCTTGAGTAAGCCTGCTGAAGTCAATAAGACTACTCCACATTAGTGAAATATTTGTAGGATCAGGGCTCAAATTAAGGAGAAAAACTGTTGATTTTGTCCCTTACAGTTCTCTGAGTCAATTCTTGAGCTCATTTTCAGTTCTTACTCATTCGTTGGTCAAATTCCCACTAAAGTTATATGGCACCACGTGTAGATTATGAAATCTTCCTTCCAGTATTTATGTAAATTAATTGTTGTTTGTGATGATGGTAGTCTAGAGGACCCACTTGAAATTGGAGCCCCATTGTGTTAGGCACACAAAGATTGAAGACACAGGCCGTGCCTTCACTGCTAAAAAAAGGTGTGTTTTTACCATAGAATAATTAATGTGCTTTAGCTATGCTGCTGCCAAATCCTAGAGGAGACATGGCATCTGTAGTTTTTACTGTGAGGTCAACTATAGTCAGGACTGAATGTTGACCTCACCTAGCTACCTCGTGGTAAAAACTACAGGTGCCTTGTCTCCACTAGGGTTTTACAGCGGGATAGCAAATACATTTTAGTTATCTTGCTGTAAAAATCTCACCTGTTTGGTAATGAAGACATAGCCACAGAGTAAGAGACAATCCCTGCCCCAAATTGCTTGCAATCAAAATAAGCAAGACAGAAAAAGGTGAGAGGCAAGGGATATAACAAGCAAGCAGTGTGCACAATGTAGTGATTTCCTAGCGCCATATTAGTTCCATGATTTTTTTTATTTTGGATTTTTATTAACTTTTTAGAGGTGGGAAGATTCTTGGAGTTCACATGACACGAGGGGGCATGGTGTCACGTGAGTCCTGAGGTTCCTGGGTGGTGGTCTCTGGCTACACTGTTTTGAGGTGTAGGGGGAAACGGGTAGTGTATTATTATGTAATGTATGTAGTAGTGTAAAGTAGTGATCCCTTGTGATTTACCTGTTGGTTAAACAGTATATCATTGTTTTGCATGGATAGGAGGGACTGTATCTCTCTCTCTCTTTTTTTAATCATGTTTTTAAAAGTTGTAATTCACAATATTTTGATGCCAAACCAATGAATCACAAAGTTGGGACTCCTTGTAATTAACTGATGTGGCATCATGATCAATAATTGCAACATATAATTCAAACTGTGGGCCAGCCCCAGGGGAGTACTTCTGAAAGCCGCAGCTGGTTACAAAAATGAGCCTGCCAAACAGCCATGGCTTTCATAAGCCTTTGCTGGGTTTTTTTGCCCCCTCTTATGTTTTGATTTAAAAGGCCAACTTGAGGTGTCCTGATTCACCACAGAATAATGTTTGCATTCTCTTCCCCTTGCAATCACAGGCCTTATCTCAAAGCTGACTTGCGCCTGAGGGAAACTTTTGTCCAGCTTTTGATAGATCTCTTCTTTGAGCCAGGCTGGGCCTGACCCATCCTGGACAGGTCATTTAAGTGAAAGTGAACCCTGGGCATCTTAAATTTGGGGCCAAATTATCTACTGATTTTTAATTGGCAAAGCTGTAATGAAGTTAGTGGCGCTCCACCAATTTACATGAGTGGACACTTGGCCTGTGGACTGGAGTTTGAGTTTACTGGGGAAAAACTGTTGCCCAGAGATTGAAGGAATGATTTCCAGTGAGCACTAAAGCTGTATTTAAATGGACTGATTTTTAGACTTGTCATTTATCTGTACGTGTTTATGAATGACAAAATAATGCAAAAGTTCCTTGGCTGTAAATGTATAAGTCTCTCTAAAGCAAACCCGTTATACTTTATGTTCACTGGTACATTGTACTCTTTTATTCTAGTCGTTCAATGATTCCTTGAGCTTTGTTCAGCTTCCTTGACTTTTTTTATTTGGCTTTGGGTGTCCCAAGTGTGTTTGGAATCTGTGTGTCCATCCCTGCAATATCGCTGATACTTTCTTACAGTGTGTTCCTCTGGCCCTGAAGTATTTTTATGTTCCTGTTATCCTTGGATAGTCCAGTGACCCCTTCTGTTGGCTCCTCAAATCATTTTCACTGCTCCTTTAGTCTCCCTAAGCTGCTGAGAAGAAAGTATTGAACTAATATTAAATCCTGTATTGCAATTTATTTGAGTTGTGGAGAAAAGATATTATTCAAGATGGTTATCAGCTGTGTGTATGTGCATGTGTGTGTACACTTAAAATGTATTATGTATATTGTATATGATACATACATATAACATCTACACAAGAGAAAAATTTACCCCAGAGGATTTGTATTATAAATTTTTTATTCAGTAGAACATTCATCTTAAGTTATTTTTCTAAGTGCTTCAGCAGATTTTACAATAGACTGATTTCACTTCAAATATTGGTTCTTAGCTGCCTCTGAGGGTTAGCGGAATACAGGCTGGGTTTTTTTACTAAAATTTACAGATGTCCCTAAAATAGTTGGTATTTCATCCTCATGAAATAAATTTATGAAGCCAGGAAAGAACAAATAAAAAGCTACAAAATCTTTGAGGCATTTTCTGGCAAACATGATGCTTCACGAGCGGAGAAATATGTTTGGATTAGAATCAGATGTGCAAACTTGCCTTTGCGTGTAACACCATTGAGGTTCTGTCCAAGTAAGACCGTTTTTAGAACTGATTGCTGGTTTCATTAAATGTAAACTGTTCATCCCACTGCTGTTTTTCAGAACAAGAAGAAAACTTTGAGTTTATTATCGTTTCTCTCACCGGCCAGACCTGGCACTTTGAAGCGACCACATATGAAGAAAGAGATGCGTGGGTACAAGCCATAGAGAGTCAGATCCTGGCCAGTTTACAGTCGTGTGAGAGCAGTAAGAATAAGGTAAGGTGCACAACTTCACATTGAAAGTGAGCTAGGGCTATTGATCATTAGAGAGAATTCAGGATCTAGGGTAGTGTGAAAAGTAAACATATTCAGCAAGGTCCATGTACTTGTTGGACACAGCTAAGGAAAAGTAAACCATGCAAATTTGTATGCCTCCAAAATAATTCAATATGAGACATATTTTATCCTGTTGCACATTCTGATTTTATATTTAAATAATTTAAATTATTATTTATTTTTTTTGTCTTTTCCATCTCTCATAATTTCAGATGTAGAATATTCATCTTTTGGTTGGATCATTTGCTCTAACAATACAAACTGTATTTTGGGGGGGAGGTCTATGGGAAAGCCTTTAAGGGCTGAGAAAAGAACAGCTTATTTACAAGCTAAGTCTCTACTGGATGCTACTGGGTTTCTCCATGGCAGCGTTCCATTAAATGCTCTGGATTACTTAATAGTAATGTGCACTGCTATCCCTGTGAGTAGGAGAAGACTTGTGTGTAAAGTGGTACACATTTCAGAAGTAATGATCAATTATTCTTGTATCCAAATGATGTTTTTGTGAAGCGACTGTGTAGTTTTTCTTTCCTTGAATTAAATGTAATTCATTCTTTGTGGTTTTGTTATTAGGCCAGTCTCAGGGGGAACCAATCAGGAAGCAAAAGCCTGGTCCTTTTTGTGGTGTCCTGGGGATAGGCTTCCCCCATCACATTCATATTTGGCCCAAGCAATTTCTTCTGCTTTCTCTGCAAAACCTCCCCCAACCCACAGGTTCTGTAGAGGGCTGCCAGTTTGCTATTCTTGAGCCTCTTGATTTTTCAAACATTTAATAACTAGAAAACAAGAGGTGAGCGGGGAGATTCTTTTCACAGACCTGTAGATCCTTTTGCTATCCATGTAAAGAAACTTCTTAATGATTTATATTCTGTTTTGTCATTAAGTAGGGGACCTATATTTTGAAATGACTGCCTTTTTTTATTACCTCTATAATCAGAGTAAACCAGACCAAAGTAATTATCATCATAATGTAATTTACTTCCCATTTTTTTAAAAATTGACTTTTTATATCTGAGGTGGAGAAAAATCACTGCCCATTTATTTCTCTGGCCTGTCTTCATTGAGCTCAGTACATTACAACAAGATGACAATGAAATATTACGCTGCGAACATTAGTACAAAACGTTAATATAATAGGAGGTAAAGAATGCTGGTTTGAATATTTAACACAGTAACTGAAGAGAGAATTACGTTTTGGTTATATAAAGGCAAGAGACAAAAAAAAAAAAGAAACCACTTAAAAGTTATATTTGTATGGAGGTTTTCTGGGAGAAGTTAGTTGGGGATTGGTCCTGCTTTAAGCAGGGGGTTGGACTAGATGACCTCCTGAGGTCCCTTCCAACCCTGATATTCTATGAAGTTTTTATCATTCACCTCTGGAACTAGGGCTCAAGAAGCACTTGGAAGGCATAAGTGAAATGAATTATATTATCTCAGTACTCAGTGTCCTGTTGACAGAGCAGAAGTATATATGTGAAACGATCATATATATGACCTGATGGAGCTCTCATTCAATTCAGTGGCCAATAATTTGGTGCAGTTCGCACTTTCTGCCTAGGAGAGATTGCAAGATTTAGCTGGTTTTGAGGCCAAGCTACCTCTACATGGGCAATTGTCTTTCCAGGTCAAAGTAGAGGTTATGGGCAGGCCACAGTGGAAAGAAACACCCATTCTAGCCACCTGATTAAATCTGATCTTTTGATGATAAAAGGCTTTCAGTTCAGCTTCCTTTGCAGACCATCCCTTAGTCTTCCTGTACACAAGCATACATACCAGTAAAAAAAAAAAAAGGGGGGGGGTTATAAATAAAGTTATATAATTTATCTCCAAAAAGTACTTTACATGTGATCATGAATGCTGTGCTTCATTTTTCAGCTCAGCTTTCTTCTACACAATCCCATTATTGGTCAGAGTGCAGTCCAATATCTCATAAATGCACAGACTTCCTGTGTTCTATGCAGGGAGCTTCAATAAAAGTTTGAGCTGTCAGAAATATGGATGAAAATGGGTAGCTATGCTTGTCAGGCACTGAGCTGCAGTACTTAAAGATGCCAAAGGATCAACTCTTTGAGAAGCAAACTAAAGATGTCCAATTCCCTGATCATGTTCATTCAACCCTGATCTGAACTTTCTTTTTTTTCTTTTTCTTTTTGCTTTTCACATTGCTGACAATTGTGTGTCTAAACCTTTTCATTGGGTTCTTATTTCTTGTGTGTGTGTTTCTTTAAATATACACAGTCCCGACTGACAAGTCAGAATGAGGCCATGGCCCTTCAGTCAATAAGAAACATCAGAGGCAATTCTCACTGTGTGGACTGCGAGGCACAAGGTGAGTATAGCCATTGCTATAGAAGGACTGTTGTTATCCTTGGCTTTATAAAGCTTACGCATTCTCTTTGGTCCAGGGTTACGTGAACACCTGTTCTGATTCTTTCCCTCTTGGTATTGTATTCCACATCCCTTTGCAAACTTGGTGTTCATTATGAAGGTTGATTAGTCAGGTTTACTTTACATTAATTTGTTATTAATACATGCTATGTTGTTATAAGCCCTGATTTTTTGCCCGTATTTCATCTGTCACATTAAACATGAGTTCATACATTTTGTCTTCGAAGTTGAGGAAAAAATGGTTTTGTTTCATATTTCTTTTCAACATAAGATGCTACCATTGTCCTCCAATAAGGAAAAAAAATCATGTGCCCTAGCAATGTTGTTAGATGTGTAAAGCTTTGCTTGAGCTTTCTGCAGTTTTCATATTACTGACAAAGGAAAATAAAACATTCGCTAGTAGTGGAATGCTACAAAATTGATTTTGTATTTCTTTCTCTTAGTGCTTTTTTTAAATTCTGAATTCTTTTAAAATATATGGACTAACAGTTAGCAAAGGATTGGCCAGTTTAATTTCAGAGGTGCTGTTCTCACTACTCTTTATTACCCCTGCTTCTAGGGGTTTGTAAGTCAGCTATAAAAATTAGCTCAGGGCTGAAACTTAACAATACAAGGTCCCAGCTGAGAAACAATCAATTGGAGAAATAGGACGAAAGGGTATTTGAAAATTCTTATTTCTTTTACGTTTGAAAATCATACTCATTTCTTTTAATTGTACAAGGACCAAAAATGAAAATTTAGTAATTTCTGTTGCTTTTTTATGCTTTTATCTTAAAACTGGTATTTTATAGACCCGTTGTTTTATAAACTTGTCTATTTAGTTATCAACTTAAATCTTTGTAGCACCTTCCCTAGACTTAAAACAATTCAGTAATGCAGAAATTTTCACACACTTAATACACTGTCCATATAATGAACAATAAAACTGATCTCAATAACCCGCCAAGAAACTCACCATAACCCTATCCCATCAACCTGCTTCTTCCTCACGTAGCTTGGAGGGGATGTGGGTATCAAAAGACTACTGGGCATTTAGAATAGAAAGTTAATGTGTAACGAAAACATGTAAATGTCCCTGTTACTTTAGAAAGATTTTTTTTACTTTTTAGAAATGTGAGTAGAGTCCATTAAGATCCTCTCTGTTTTCTTCCTTTCATTGCCCCTTCAGAGGGCCCAGTTCATGCCAATGCCTCCTTGCAATTAAGGCAGGTTTGACATTACTTCCATTGAAATCTATCAGATATTCATAGGTTGTTGAAAGTGGGTCAAGAGTAATGCCGGGAGCTGAGCATGCTGGTTCTGTAGTGTTGGCCTAGTTGGCTTGGACACTGAGTACTAGAGCTCTGGGCCCTAATTTAGATACCGTCAAGGCAGCGCATTGACCTGCTCTGCACAGATCTTTGGTGTAAATTTTACAGATACTTTTTACAGGGACTTTACATTCTATAAGCCAGTAATCCAAAAAAGAAGAATATATATGATAAACTAATGGGTTTGTTGCTTTAGGATATATTCTATCATAGACAGACTAAAACAATTGTTTATTAAAGCATCTTTCCTGTCACTATGGTTATCAACATTGAGATTTACTCAGCGACTGATAGAGCTCAAGTGAAATATATAAAATATACATACAGAAATGGCTCATTTCTATGCGAGTGCTGAGAAACTGCCTAAATATGTATTTTGTTCATTCAAAATACTAGTGTGTGTCAGTAAACTACATTGTGAAATTCGGTTTTCCTGCTTTTTTACTTTTATAGGATTTCACTAAAACCTCACTCCAGTTGCCCAGAACAGACTAGACGGGGGTATATGATACCTTCACAGGTCTACCTCATAGGCCTTGCTGCTAAGGTTCAAGCAGTCAGTTATTAGCGTACTCAGAGACTTAGCTCAGAAGTTCTGTGGGAGGGGCAAGTGGCTAAAAGTCTCCATTACAAGGTCACCATTAAATGTGAAGCTTTTATTTTGAAAAGGAATTCTTCAAGCATGCATTCTGAGAGAGCATCTTTAAACAGCATTTTGCCTTCCTGGGCCTGCCAAAGTCTCTTTCTTCAAGCCTCGTTTTTGTAGGTCCCCATTTCTGGCATGTATGCACTCCAAACACTAGAGCTCAGAACACTTTGGAAAGCAATGGCCATTACGGGCCAAGTCTGCATCCTCACAAATCCAAATATTCAGAAGCAATGGGATACATAAGAGATTGCATCCCCCAACCAGCCTTCAATTCCTTTCAACTACCACCAGCAGCTTCATGATCAGAATCCTCATTCATCCTGTTTTTCCAATGTCCTCATCAGTTACCTTGTTAGCAGTTGGTTTTAGTGATTTAGGTTCTATTGGTGTTACTACTTTTACGTTTTATTGGTTAGGAATAACCATTGCCGGGTTCCAGCAGCCTGGCTCTTTACAAGCCTTGGACTTAGGTTTTATCAGTGCCCTTCTATTCTGTTCCCATGTCAGCACAGAGTGATAGAATAGGTGTCCCAGGGCAGAACACTGTACCTTTTGCATGACTCAGATGTCATTGCCAGACCAGAATACTTGCTGTGTCTCAGAAGGACGCTGTTGTGGCAGTGCACAGCTTGTGCTGCCTTATCCCAGAGGCTATGAAAGGAATTGGAATCCCTGCTTTGACTTCCTTCTCGAGGAGCCACATGAGACAAGTGGTGTTGCTGAGGAAAACGCAGCTGAGTCTGTGCCTCAGAGTGCTTTGGCTCTTTCCATGAAGAGGCCAAAGGGGAGAGATCCAAGGATAGATCTGAGTCCGGTCCAACGCCTTCAAAGAAGCTCCCGAGAGTCATGGGTCCAGTGAGCTTAGAGTCTCCAAGATCATAATAAAGAAAAAAGAAGAATGGATGGGGTAGCAGTTCAGCACAGGGCAAATCATCTAATCCAAAGGAGCTGGGACAGTTAATATCTTGGTACTACACCTCTACCTCGATATAACGCTGTCCTCGGGAGCCAAAAAATCTTACCGCGTTATAGGTGAAACCGCGTTATATCGAACTTGTTTTGATCCACCGGAGTGCGCAGCCCCTCCCCCCCCCCCGGAGCACTGCTTTACCACGTTATATCAGAATTCGTGTTATATCGGGTCGCGTTATATCGGGGTAGAGGTGTATATGCCCTTTTTTTAGATTATTACCAATCTGAGTGTGGTTCTCTTCCAGGTGAAGAGAAGGAGGAACTTCTTGGCAGGGATAATGACTCTGAGCATCTCCTTCATCTTGATGCAAAAGTATTTGTATCACCATTATCTCTTGTGGATTTCAAAAGTTTTCAGAACTTCTTATACATGTGCTGAAGCTTTTAATCTGGAAATACCAATAGTTCTACAGAGGTCACATTTGCTGTTTGACACACTGGAGAAAAAACAAAAGGGAAGAATGGCTCATGCAATAAATATAGCTCTGCTTGAACAGTTCAAGACCTTTGGCTCATTCTAGCATTGTCTTGCTGTATCCAAAAAGGAGAAGAGAACCAATCATGTCCATACAAATGGTTTTGAGTATTTTTACAATACTCTAACCCCAGGATTATAGGCGGTATCAACAGGGAGTGAAGCAGGTTGGTCCAAAAAGTCCTTTTGATTTGCACCTTCTGAAAAAGACAGCAAGTGTATTGTCAGTTATCAAGCTCTACTTGATAGGTATGTTTTTTCACCCTGTATCAGCGGTGAACCTTTTTTGCAACACATGACATGAAATTACAAGGGAAATATTCACTTTCATGTGGCATGCTGGAAGTGCAGAGGTCAGTGGCACTTCTGCGATGTTAAATTTCAGAAGAGAGCTTTTCTGTGCTCTTATTTATATTTTAGAGCATCACACATGATGAACGCCATATCATTCACCCATCAGTTCCTGATGTCTGCCTTTAAATTCATTTGAGAACAATTGTTCAGAAGAGTACATTGAAACAAAGGTCATCAACAACACTATTGCTTTTTTTTTCATAGAATCAAAAAAATCAGACCATTTGTTCCAAGCTTGCAAAACTTTGTTTTTGGGACTGAATTGATTATTTAATTCAGTCCCGTCCCTTTCTTTTTCTTCTTGTTGGAACTGAGGTCAACAGCTTGGGTTTTCTTGGGGTCATTTCCCAGGACCTCAGCCATCTCATTCTTAAGTCTGTCCATATCTACTCACTTAAGATCTGTAATCTTCATACATGACCATATTTTCTAGCTATTGAAACTCGAGATACCATCCTGAAAAGATTTCTAGTGACTTCTTGATTGTATTAGAGTTTGGTACTCTACTTTGATGTTACTACCATTGTCCATGGAAGTAGATAAATATTTCTTCAGCAAAGGATAGGGAAGGTGAATTTAACAATGCTCAAAGACAGTCTAGGGTCTCCTGTCATCCTGCCATCGGGGATCCAACACAGAGACCTTTAGTCTTGGCACGTGCAATTATTAAAAGATCTCTGAGAAGACTAAGCTAAATATTTCCTTAACTGTGAGCTAGCTCATTTTGAGCTAGCTCTATTCTTAATTTTTGTGCAAATAAATCTGCTGAAGCCACCTTTTGAGTTTCTTGCAGAATGTTCTCCTTTCCACCGGAGCCTGGAGACATTTTGAGTGGTAATCGCTTCTGCAAAGAAGAGTCTGAGAGATACAAGACCTGAGGACTGTACCTCAGTGTTTCATAAGAAAATACTGTAAATTCTTCACTAACGTCCTGAGTCAGCAAAGCACTTATATATGTGCTTAAATCCCATTTACACCTCTACCTCGATATAACGCTGTCCTTGGGAGCCAAAAAGTCTTACTGCATTATAGGTGAAACCACGTTATATTGAACTTGCTTTGATCCACCGGAGTGCGCAGTCCCCCCCCCCCCGGAGCACTGCTTTACCGTGTTATATCCGAATTCGTGTTATATCGGGTCGCTTTATATCGAGGTAGAGGTGTATTTCATTGAGGGTTAAGCACATGCTTAAGTGTTTTGCTGAATCAAGGCCTATGATGGTTTCATATGTTCATTTACAACACACTATAAACGTGTTAATAGTTTTTCATAAATCTGACATACTACCCCGGGAGGCCAGATTATATAGTGTGGATGATGAGTGCGTTTGTAGAACAAACATATTTGCCCATCTTTGATAGAGTCTGTGGCTTGTGAGGATAGATCTAAGGGAAGGCCACCTGTACTCAGAGAGCGTCTTTAAATGGGTGAGACTGTGTATTAAATGTTGTTATGGCCTTAACTCCAAAACTTGAGCATGCTGAGCCATATTCTGTTAGATCTCAAGCAAATTTTACCACATACTTGAGGGATGACTGACACAGAAATATATAATGCTGATATTTGCAGTTCTGTTGAGGTTTTTTGCACCACTGTTCAGTTAATCTGGTTATTTGATATGATGCCCAGTACAGAAGAGCTGTCTTGCCATTTTTATTTAGCAAATACTCCTCAGAACCTCCTCCTTTATAAGTTATTACTACTTGGTCATCTTTCAGTGCAGACACGTCTGAAGAACTTTGGTTCTTTGAGATAATTGCCTATATAGATCCACATTCCCACCCTGCTTGCTCATGTAGTCAGAAAAGAAACTTTATATATCCTCACTTCTGAGTATCACAAGACCTAAAATAGAGTGCGGAGCTGCAGTTTCCCCTTTGGGTGTTAGCAATATCATCAGTGTTGGCGGAGAAACACAGAACCCTGAACTCGGGCTTTGGCAGGTCAGTGAAAGAGATTTTATTCCAAGTTGCAATCGTTTGTAAATTGTAATCTAACACACATTCTCTTACTAATTTAGACCTTAAACAATTACTTTTTTAAAATCTTTTCAGCTAACTTTCAATACTACACAAGTCCCCCAATGTACTGTTTGAGACATGAAAATTATCTCTTAAAGATGACTGAAGGGTGAGGGAGGGGAAATAATTTGTGCCTTTTGTAGATCCTGTATGATGTACAAAGAATGCATGAAAGGAATAGCAAGTCTTGTCTTCCTTGTTTTCACAGGACTCACTGGAAATCTAAGATTTGTACTGCGCTTTCTCAACACTTAATCAAAGGACTAGGAGTGACAATGAAGCTTTAACAAATAATTCTGTTCTTCTGTTTGAACTAATTTTTTTTTTAATTCTTTATTAGGGCTGTTCAAAACATTTGCATCAACTTTTTGGGAGGGAAAATTGAGTTTTCATTTAAAAAAAAAATTATGGAAAGTATCTGCCTTCCTTGAAAATATTTGAATTTTTGTCCAAAACCCCAATTTTTTGGCTGAAAACCAGAAAAGATTTTCAGTTTTTGGCAGCTTTCAGTTGCAGAAAAATTTTCAGTTTCTGTTGCAGAAAATTCAGGAAAAAATCATTCTTATTGAAATTGAAATTTCCTACATCAGTGGAGGAATCCCATTTTCTGACCAGTGTTAACATTTACACAGTGTGAATAAAAATCTCCTGCCCTTTGAACCAGGTTTTTCCTGCTTGATATTGTGATATCATACTAGCTCTTCAGATCTCCATAGTGTCTCCCAGGAAAAGAAAGGTAGACAAGTTCTGACATCAAGAAAAGTACCTCCAAAAATCCTCTCTTGGAAGTCTTTCATTGCATGTGTTAAAATTAATGTTTGTTCAAGAGAGGTTCGGACAAACTTACATTTAAATAGCATAGCATGGTTATAAAAAATGAAACATCTTGGGAAATGACTTTGAATTTCTTGGCTTTTGCCAGGTTTGTCATAGCCTTGTCTTTTGAGGGGTAATTTTTTTTCCTGTAGAATTGTTCTTGCTAGTACACTAAAAAAAAATTGCACATTTTCATCTTAGTACTTATCTCCCTGATCTTAGAGATGAACACATACCCCTCAGCATGTTAGATGTAAAAGTCATAAGTAGTTGATGAAATAGATGGTTATTAAGGGAGTTGATATAGTTAGCAACAGCAACATTGTATCAAGTAACTTTTTCTTTTGTAGTAATTGGCTACAAGTGGTTCCAGTTCCCAAGGCGGGGCTTTCTACCAATTCATCTGAGCTACCAACTACCCTCTTTTTATCTTCCCTATTGCTTCTTTTCTCTTTAGAATCACAGGTTCCCTTAGTCTATTGGGGTGTTGCATGTGCCTTCCTTTGAGACCACCACTATTTCTTGTCAACTCATTTAGGGTCTGTTGGAGGAATGGCACATTGAGAGGGCTAGACCTAGGAACCAAACTTTTGCCTCCGCTTCCTAACAGTGCTGTGAAACCAAGAGACCTGAATATTACTCCTCTTGCTTCCCCAGCCAAAACCATTATCCATACGCTCTTCAGTTCTGAGAGAGGTTTAGAATGTGTCACAAGGAATTTTGTTTTTGGTTTTTTTTAGTGATTGTTTGTGTCTGTCTTCCTGTAGACCCTGACTGGGCCAGTCTGAATCTGGGAGCCCTCATGTGTATTGAATGCTCAGGTATACACCGGAACCTTGGCACGCACTTGTCACGTGTCCGGTCACTTGACCTGGATGATTGGCCTATAGAACTCATCAAGGTGATGTCATCCATTGGGAACGAATTAGCAAACAGTGTCTGGGAGGAGAGTAGCCAGGGACGAATGAAACCCTCTTCAGACTCCACAAGGTAGGCTATTTTATTCCCTTTTGTGTACAAGGCATCCATATGTCAAAACTGTGACTAAGATTTAAAAAAATAAGTATCTAAAACTAGCCACATAAATACATATTTAGGCATCTAAATCTATGTCCTGATTTTCAAGGCTATTCGCTTCAAGGGGAGCCTGCTGGGTCTTAGCACTTTTTACTACATATGGACTTCTAGGAGCCAAATTTCAGGCGCCATTTTAGCATATGTCAGGTAAACGTGAAGTCTGACCAAAAAGTGCCAAAAATTGAGTGAGCTTGGTAACTTTTGTGCTTGCCAAGGCTGCCTTAGCAGTTTAGAAGTCTTGGAAACAGGGGGAAATTTAAGCCTCCCAAACTTTTGTTCCATCATTTTCATTAGCTTTTGATAAACCAGTAAATCTGACCCTCTGGATACTTTACTGTAATTAGCAATGTGCTTTCCATAGTCACAAGCTAACCCAGCAAATTGCTGTCTTCTTTTACACCTAACTGTGAATTCTTGGGACTAGATGTTATTGCTCTTATTGTTTTGAGAGTTCTGTTCCAAATGAGGCTGCTTAATTTCCTTATGCAATCTATTGGGTAAGTGTATGTTTTTCCATAACTAATACAATATTTTATCTACAAATCATAGGTCAGCATACAGAAGATCCTCTCACTATAGTTTGTTATCCTAAAAGAAAACTAAGATTATTTTTGTATTGCATCCATGTTATCAGTGGCAAATGGCTTAGAAAAAAGTTTAAATGGTTTAGAAAGAAAAGTTAACTGTGATGGGTGTTAAATGTAAGAGCTGATATTCACACTGAACAATTAAGAAATACTTGCTTGGGGAAAGCAATGTGACCACTGGCAGTTTCTCTATCAGTAGAGCAGATTTCAGACATGAGGAGGAGCCTGGACTACCTTGCCCAGCTAGTCCAACCTTTTAAGTTGCCTTCAGAAGTGCATGTGTTGCAGTTGTCACAGTGCCACACTCCAGGGGGCTAGCGTGTAGAGCTGACTGCATCTGAGCACCGTTTAGTCCCCAGGTATCAGATATTATGATGGAGGTTTAGCACTTGCTGTCAGTATTTGCCTCCTGGATGTAAGAGAATAAAACAGAAGGGTACTTTTACTTTTTTTTAAATGCATATGCTTCATTTCTGGAGTTTATTGCATCCAATACTAGATTTACTGAAAGGATAACTGAATCTATACCTGTGCCTCCTACTACACAAGATAAATAGATTTGTCCTGTTGACTGTAATAAAATCAACCATATCTTACTGCATTATTTCGTTAGCACTGAAAAATGAATTTGTGGTGCCACCTTTGGTTCATCCTAGAGAATGAAGGCAGTGTATTAATCAGGCTATTTATATACACAACTGTCCATCTAAATATGTGCATACTCAGATATACACATGGAGTTCATATGCATAGAACCTGTATATGTGTGCATATATTTGTTACACATCAAATACATTAAGAATTTCAAAAATTAAACTAGATCTATCTTAAAATATTGTTATTAAATCAGCAGCATTATCTAATAACTGTAGACTTAATCTGAAGACACTGTTTTGTTGTTTTGTTTGACTATAGATCTTTAATAATGACGCATTGGAAAGATTTATTGATTCCGAATATTAAAGATAGGCTTCACTCTCAATATTTCAATTCACAATATTTTTAAAGATTGCTGTAAGGCTAGACATAATAAATGAAAGAAATTGTCTTGGTAAACCCAGGCCCCAAAAAAGATCTCAATGGAAGGAGAACACTAGTGTTGAAGTCAAATAATTCAGTTCTCTGACAGTGGCTTGGTTAGAAGTTTGCATTTTCTCTTTATATTCCGTACTTAGAATTTATTTTAAGCTGTCCCTGCATCTACACAATTCCTTTACGTATGTATTTTGTAGTGTAGTTTTCCAGCTGTTTTTGTATTTGTCAGAAACTTAATTAATCTTTAAAAAAAAAAAAAAAAAGTAAATACTTTTGAACACCATGGTATCATGCACATTTATAAATGCTCATTTCAGGCTCCGTGTGTGTATGTATAAATATATATAATGGAGGCATTGGTAGCAACAGCATAGTTAAGGTTGTGTTGAAATTTTAGCTTAAAACAAGACTAACTTCCCTCTGTTACACACTTTAATTAATGATTTTGTTTCTCAAAATTTGGAACAATAACTCATCGTGGAACAATTGCATTTTTGATGGCCTTTAGTAAAATATTTAACTTTTGTACAAGAAAATTTTAAAATCCTCCTATTTTGAAGTTTAACCCTGTTCTGTGACATTTAATTGGGTTCATCTGGTGTAAAATAATCATAATCATACTTGAAGTTTTACTCACCACCTCTTGGATATAAGTTAGGCACTAGAATTTTAAATATAACAAATTATTCAGCTAGTAGTTGTGTTACTCCTGAGTTGAGTTTCACAAAAGAAAGCCAACAGCCAGACACACTAGTATGGACGTGGAGTCTTGAGGAAAAAGTCCTGTGATGGGGCATGAGATAGGTAATGGAGTTGGAAGGGTGAGCAGAAATCTAGATGGAGAGCTGGATGTTATGAGTTGTAGAATCATAGAATATCAGGGTTGGAAGGGACCTCAGGAGGTCATCTAGTCCAACCCCCTGCTCAAAGCAGGACCAACCCCAACTAAATCATCCCAGCCAGGGCTTTGTCAAGCCTGAGCTTAAAAACCTCTAAGGAAGGAGATTCCACCACCTCCCTAGGTAACCCATTCCAGTGCTTCACCACCCTCCTAGTGAAAAAGTTTTTCCCAATATCCAACCTAAACCTCCCCCACTGCAACTTGAGACCATTACTCCTTGTTCTGTCATCTGGTACCACTGAGAGCAGTCTAGATCCATCCTCTTTGGAACCCCCTTTCAGGTAGTTGAAAGCAGCTATCAAATCCCCCCTCATTCTTCTCTTCTGCAGACTAAACAATCCCAGTTCCCTCAGCCTCTCCTCATAAGTCATGTGCTCCAGCCCCCTAATCATTTTTGTTGCCCTCCGCTGGACTCTTTCCAATTTTTCCACATCCTTCTTGTAGTGTGGGGCCCAAAACTGGACACAGTACTCCAGATGAGGCCTCACCAATGTCAAATATGTAGTGGCTGAGTGACTTTATCATGGGGTTTGGAGGCTGAGAGCAGAAGGAGAAACCACTTGCAGAAGGAAAGTCAGTCTGCTCTGAGCCATAGCAGAAGTGCTGCATGAGCTCCCTTCCACACACTAAGGCTTACTGGTCCTTCACACAACTCGGGGGCACAGAACCTGAGGTCTGCTGGCTGGCACATGAGAAGCCAGCAGCTCATACACTCACAGCTTAGTGGCTCCCTGTCCTAGTGAGCCATAGAAGCTCCATCGGACAGAGGGGGTAGGGAATCACTAGTGCCTCGCTGCTTTCTCATCCTCCTGCACTTACCCGTTCGTCCTCCACCCCAACATGGTCACTCATCTTTCATGGCCCCACCAATAGCTCCACTTCCCCCATCCCACTCACTTCCTCTCTCTCCCACAGACCTGCTTAATTTCTCACATTTCCCACTCCACTCACCTCGCCCACTGACCCACACTCCCTCTTGCTTACCACATACCCCTCTAGCCTCTGAACAGGGCCTGCAGACACATGCTAGGAAATGCAGGAAGAGAGAATAACACTGGGGAACAAACAGTAGAAAAGAGTCAGAAGGATACGTAGTGTTTTCTGCCATTCCACCCTTCACGGTAACATGTCCTGGGTTTCATTTAGAAAACAGGTGGGAGTAGATTGGCTGGGGAGAGGTAAGGGATGAGGACCATGGCTGACAACTTCACTCTAGCACAATGGAACTTTCTACGTACTTGTAAATCTCATTTGTTCTAGAGATGCCAGCCCACAACTGTGGAACTAACTCTCACAGCAATGTGTAGCCTATAGGGCTAGCCTGCTTGCTTGCCTATATATCTTTTCTTATGAGGTTAATCATTTGTTATATTATAGGTTTGTTATTTGTTGTTATAATGGGTTTAGCGATTTGTATTAGAGTATTTTGGCTGTTTGTATTAGAGTATGTTGGCTGTAACGCAAGGAAGCTACAGGCAACATCCTGTATGTTAAGCTAAGGCAAGTTAACATACTTATGTTTGAGACCTTTACCCTAGGTAGGTGATGATGAGCTAAAGCATACAGGATATATGTTTGTGACCTTTAACATAGATAAATGGGCATGTTTAGAGCTAGTTGGTAGGTAAGGCCACCCAAGTTCTTGGCCTTTTTCAGACTTAACACATACACCACAAAGAACATGGAAACAACCAGTTAGAACAGAAATAACAGAGGTGAGGATGAGCTAATAGTCACTAATAGTTACGGATATGTCATTAATACACACGGACATGCCAGCCTATGGAGTAAGGATACCCTAACATTTTTGTAGGTGAGGAAATTAAGTTTGGACATGGAAGGAGAGCACTTAGGGCTCAGGCCTTATAAGAGGGGCAGCCCACCATGTTAGGTAGGTTCCGCACGTTGATTGGTAGTTCATCCTTGTTAGTTCTTAAGTTCTTCACCTTCCACTCAAGACTTGAGGAACCTGGACCATGAAACTCCGTTGGCGTGCCAGAGGCAAGGCTGGTCTTTTGTCTCTTGTCACTAGGTTATCAAGGAAGGGTGTGAGTATATTAATCAAAAAACCTTTATAGTATATAAAACCACATGTACTGCTAGTATTGCTTTTGTAATTGGTTATTTGATTATTATTTGATTACTATTCAATTACTAATGTTGATAAATGCAAAGTAATGCACATTGGAAAGCATAATCCCAACTATACATATAAAATGTTGGGGTCTAGCTGTTACCACTCAAGAGAGAGATCTTGGAGTCATTGTGGATGGTTCTCTGAAAACATCGACTCAATGTGCAGCGGCAGTCAAAAAAGCGAACAGAGTGCTGGGAATCATTAAGAAAGGGACAGATAATAGAACAGAAAATTATCCTGTTGCCTCTGTATA